CCTCAGCATCATGTATTATGCAAAACTGCAAATGTAACCCCTGAATCTAAGATAAAAATTGGAATTATAAACAAGCAAACAAGCAAGTCAACAGGAAAATTAAAAAAGAGGTAGAAGAGGAAGGAAAAAAACTTCTAAGGAAACTGAGAGTAAGAAAAAAATGACAACTGATAGTCCAAAAAATATTTTATTCTTTCCTCTACAACTCAATGAATTTTGTATGCATAATGAGGTTGGACAAGTGATTTTGAAGCTGGATAGCTACTGACCATGTAAGAATGCTGGAACACTGAATATAAACCAATCAGCAATGTTCTCACATGAGACTGGAAAGTGAGTGCCAGGCAGTTAAACCACATTCTAACAGACCAAAAAAATCTATACTTTGTTCATTATAATCTAAAATACTGTTACCTAGGAGTCTTCTAGAGGAAGGCAGTTTGTCAGCTTCATAATTACAATCAGTGGATTATTGACCTTACATGCCAAATAGGTGAAAGGCTAAAAACTCTGAAGTTAGAAAAACAACCTACAGTTGTTTTTCCCTACAATATCCCCAGATATTTTGGAGGGAAAACACATTATGGATATATTCTATAAAACTTGTTATCTGAAGACTTTGAGTAGATCAACGAAACTGGATACACATTGTTACTGAAGTTAGTCTCAATTTCTATCAAGAAAGGAGAAAAAAATGAAATATCTGATGTCTCAATCAACAGAGAAAACTTGGAAATCTTGTCCCTGAGAAAGGGGTATTTAAATTTACTATTAAATATTGGGCAAGGCAATGGAGTAAAGTGTATCACGTAATTGTAGTAATAATAGTATTACTATTCTATTTATAAGCAGAATAGCTCCTACTCTTCCACTGCAGTTAAAGGACTTGTCAGATGGTAGAACAGAAAAGATAATTAATCTTCATTTCTACTTCTTAGGAAATCTCCATCTCTCATATTCACTTGATTGCATTCCTAATGAGCCCATAATCAACTTAGTCTGAATGTGAGCAAAACCAGATATTTCCTGGTTCTGTTTCCTGAGAGACTCTTTTCTTCTAAAAATCAGAAAACTTTATGACCTTGCATTCCAGGTCTGAGACCAACTTGCTCCTGGTAAGGAAGCCTGGGACTCAGAAGGATAATGATACTCTAGGGACACTAGAAGGATAATGATGCTCTATGGTAAGTCCAGGCCTTCAGGAAAACCCAGTGACTCTTCCATTAATATCTATATGTGCTGAAAATTTTGGTAGAAACAAGTGATAAAACCAACTTAATCACATAATAGACCAGTCTTCAACTCTACGCAGGTAAGTTTCTCCCTGTGCAAAGTGGGATCCCCTGAGAGCGGATATGGCTGTGATGGCAGTTCATCTAGGAAAAATTGATAGAATAGTGGCTTTAAATCTTACCTAACTCAATGAGTCTTTTGTCCATGTTTCTTCTGTATTTATAGTTTTTCATAAAAAAAATGAAGGGATAGATTAATATAATTTAGACTTAAAATATTTTCATAAGTAATTAGGTAATATCTTCATGTGTTTCTGTTCTCCAAATAATTAATTACATAAGCAAGTTTGTAACCAAGTGTTTTAGAGTCTAGTCAATTGAATACCAATTAATTCTAATATTTCCTAATTTAGGAAAATTAAAAAGAATAATTAATAGCAATTTACCATTGGGTGGAAGTGAGACAGACGTTTGAGCAATGTAGAAAGTAAGGGATGGAGAAGAGAATCATATAGTTTCTAAGTATTTCATATCTTATTTATTTGCCCAGCACCTCAAACTTCTCTCTCTCAGGGCAAAGGACTTCCCAGCCTCCATTTTTCCTTCTTGTCTCTGTCAGAGATCGTCTATTCTTTTCTTTGGCTTCCACTCAGTGGGTAAGAATAAGACACCCATTATATGAAAACAGTTAGATTATTTTAAGAAGTTAAGAGTCATCAAGCTCTTAATCAAGCTCATACCCTGTTGTCTCTTATAGAAAGTGAGTTTGAGGTAATTTACGTGTATATATTTCCCCCATTAAATTACTACATACTCAGAAGCCTATAAAGGAGGAGTGCTGTAAATATTTACTTTTTTCTTAATCATATTACTTTTTTTTTAACCGCACCAAAAAAAATCTACAAACATTTTTAGAATGTCACCTTTTTACTTCAAATCAGATATTTTGATGACTGTTTGGAAGAATGGCTAATCTTATACCCAAGGTGATGGAGGAAAGCTCTTTGACTCTAGATCTTTTCTTGTCTTCTAACTTTCTTTGTTTCTATCATCAAGAAGACTTTACTTCTTTTTGTTTTTATCTCTTCCGAATATTTTACTTTCTGTTTCTGCCTTGCCAAAATATCAGGCTCTACAGAAAAAAATAAAATAAAATAAAACTGGGCATAATGGCTCACACCTGTAATCCCAGCACTTTAAGAGGCCAAGGCAGGCAGATTGCTTGAGCTCAGGAGTTTGAGAGCAGGCTAAGTAATTATAAGCTACCATATATTGAATATTTAATTTGTTTCAGACACTAATCTCTTCTATACAGTATCTCATTTAACAATGAAGTGAGGGTTAGTGTTCTTAATTTACAGATGAATAAATTGTGTGTAAGCTACTCAGGCAAGATGCTACACATGATACATGAGGGATCCAGGATTGGTAGCCAGGCCATCTTTCTGATTTTCAAGCCCTTGATTTTAATCACTTGTTGAATACTAAGAGGTAATCTGATAAAGAAAGACATTATGATAAAGTGGGTGGGGATAAGTATAATATTTATTTTTGCTTTTAGATTAATGGAAACTTATGGAATGATTAAAGAAATTCTAACAGTTTTAGCTTATGAGATCTTTTTCTTTCAGTATCTATCATTTCTGGCAACTCATTCATAAGGAACAGAAACATTATCCACATACTTCACCATTCCTTCTACCACATACTTCCAAATATCTCATGTCAGCATCAAAGGGATTTTTTTTTTTTTCACAATGTTTACGTGATTTGTTTTGACAGGGTTTTACTGTAGTCATCTAGGCTGGAATGCAGTGGCATGATCTCAGCTCACTGCAACCTCCAGCTGCCAGGTTCAAGTGATTCTCCTGCCTCAGACTCCCGAGTAGCAGGGATTACAAGTGCCCGCCACCATGCCCTACTAAATTTTGTACTTTTAGTAGAGATGGGGTTTCGCCATGTTGGGTGGGCTGCTTTCGAACTCCTGACCTTGGATGATCTGCCCGCCTCGGCCTCCGAAAGTGCTGGGATTACAGGCGTGAGACACCGCGCCTGGCCCACAATGTTTATTGCTTTAGTCCTTATTTGTAGCTGTTCTACCCACAGTCCACTCATTAGTATTTCTGCAGGATCTCAAGCAAAGATATTTTAGTGTTTTTTCCATTCTGTTATATAAGAATTAATACACCACAAATTATTTTTGTACTCCCAAACATGTACTTTCTGTGAAAATAAAGTAGCTGCTCATCTGACATTTTTAAAGAAATTGCTATCCAGAGAGAAAAAGAAACAGAAATTTTTACCATTATTCATAAAAGGCTTCCTTTTTTAAGGATGTATGGATGTTACTAGATGGAGAAAATCTCTTTATGTGAGGAACTGGGCTCTGTGTTTAGGTACGGACAGTTTGAAGCAAAGTGAGAAATGGTTCAAAAATTAGAGAGTGATAAATAAAACTAAGACTAAAGGGGGAAAAGATTGTATTTAATGGAATCCCCCCCAAAAGGATCATGAGTCAAAATCTGGAAAGACTGTAGAATTAGGGAGGTGTTAAGACGCGGGCATTATATTCAACAGATCTTCAGAATTCAAACCACAGCTCATTACTCATAATATTACATAAAGTTATTTAAAAGAGAAAGTAGGGAGCCAGTTATACAAAGTAGGGTATGAAGTCTTACCCAGAGCCCAAGGAGTCTAGTGATCCATGGATCTTTAACCTCTGGGAAAATGAACACACACACATGCACACACACATAGGCACACACACACTCTCAGTCATGTTAATCCAACTAGCCAGGTTCTGCTTTTGAATACATACTGTCCTTTTCAACTTGTTCATTTTTCATTGAATTTGATATCTTTGTATTCTCCTTTAAAAAAAATTCTTGGCCTTGGTGAAAAACAAATTAATTAAAAAAAATCCTCTATATTCTACATTTCTCCTTCCACTCTACAAATCTGCCCAAAACATAAAACGTAACTGGTCCTTAATTTACTTAGGAAAAATAAACTTTCCTTAACTGTCTCTGGAAATGAACAATCCCCTTCAATTCTTCTCTAAAGGCTACACTTGGTGCTCTGAAAAATGGTGGATTATTCAAGATTTTGATGAAGGAATGATTTAAACTAAAGCTCTCCTTTAACAAACCCCATTTGAGAACAGATGAAAATGACACAGAAATAAATAACTCATTTTCCGAGACCGGGAGAAGTGTGGCTAATGCTGAACACTCTCATAAGATTATGTACTAGTGTACACAGGACATCAGAAATGAGATTTCTTTCAGGAGAATTTCTAAGTCTGGTGAAATTGTCTGGCCTCTAGAAGTAGATAAAGAAGGAACACCTAATAGTGGTGTGCAGGCAGACTAGTGTAGTGGAAGATGCAAAAGATCAATGCTCTGTGTCATAGCTTCCATTTCCACAAGAGTTAAGTCTGAAATCCTAAAACATCACCATTTTAACCTACCACATAGTTGTAGTGCAACTTTTTCATGATTGCTTGCTTGTGCTATCTTGTCATGTGTTGTAGAACCTCAGGATAATCTAACTGAACTGCCATTCACAGCACTGACTTATTTGCTCAATGCACACTGTGGTTGCATGAGAGGGAGGCTGAGAAATTTTCACTTTCCATTCAAATACTCTTCTACAGGTATCAGAATCAGTGGTGAAAAGACAGAATACCAACCTCAATGGCATCCATCAGCATGTCATATTTGAACCCCAGAACTGTAACTTTGACTGGCATTCCTGGACTGGAGAATGTGCAGTTTTGGATTGGCTTTCCTTTTTTCCGTGTGCCCAGTGGCTGTGTTGGGAAACATCATTTTACTGATTATTGTCCCTACGGAATGTAATTTGCATCAGCCCATGTACATCTTCCTGGCTGTGCTGGCAGTAACTGACATAAGACTGTGTGCAGCCATTGCTCCCAAGATGTTGGCCATCTTTTGGTTCAAGTCTTGCTCAGTGGCCTTTGATGCCTGCCTAGCTCAGCTGTTTTTCATCTATGCCATGCAGTGCATGGAGTGTGGTATTCTGTTGGCCATGGCCTTTGACCGCTACCTTGCCATCTGTGATCCTTTGAGACACACATCCATCCTCACACCTTCCGTCTTGGTTCACATGATAGTGGCAGTGGCAATCCGAGGTACAGTGCTGGTTGGTCTGTTACCCATTCTTATCAAAAGACTGCATATTTTCCATTCCATTCTTATTGCCCACTCTTACTGTGAACACATGGCTGTCGTCAAGCTGGCTACAGAAGACATCCAAGTCAATAAAGCATGTGGTCTTTTTGTGGGCTTTACCATTCTGGGATTTGACATGATTTTTATCCTTGTGTCCCGTGTTCTGATTTTCCAAGTTGTTTTTCATCTACACCAAAAGGAGGCACAGTTCAAAGCATTTAACACATGCACAGCTCATATTTTTGTTTTCCTTGAATTTTATATTCTTGCCTTTTTCTCCTTCTTCAGCCACCATTTTGGACATGTGGCCCCCTCCACCCACTTTCTGTTGTCTACCATTTACCTCCTTGTGCCACCTGCACTCAACCCTATTGTCTATGGTGTAAAAAACAAGATAATCTGAAAGCGTGTGGCACAAATTTTTCTTCTGAATTATGGATCCCAAGAGTGATCTATCAAATGTTTATGACCATGTAGAGAATGCTTTACTTTCCTAGAGATGGAGAGAGTTTGGAGTGTGCTCACGGCTGGAGGTTCACATTATCATGCTGGATATCAATTTATTTTTATAACTAAATCTAGGTCGACATAAAAAGTGTTCAATTTAAGACTGATATTAGCTCTCTACCAAATTAGTATTTGGCTTCCAATTTAATCTATCATGTCTTTCCATTCATATTATTTGCATTGAATTTGCAGCCTCTATATTCTACATTTCCTCTTCCACATCAAATCTAGATTCTACAAATCTACCCAAAACAGAAAATGTAACTGGTCCTTAATTTACTTAGGAACAGAACTTTCCTTAACTGTCTCTGGAAATGAACAGTCCTTTTCAATTCTTCTCTAAAGGCCACACTTCGTGCTCTGAAAAATGTTGGATTATTCAAGATTTTGATGAAGGAATGATTTGAATTAAAGCTCTCCTCTAACAAACCCCATTTGAGAACAAATGAAAATGACCCAGGGATAAATAACTCATTTTCTGGGACCAGGAGAAGTGTGGCTAGTACTGAATACTCTCATAAGATTATTTACTGATGCACACAGGGCATCAGAAAAGAGACTTCTTTCAGAAGAATTTCTAAGTCTGGTGAAATTGTCTGGCCACTAGAAGTAGATAAGGAACATCTAATGGTGTGCAGGCAGACTGGTGAATAGGTCATGGAAGATGCAAAAGATCAACACTGTGTGTCATAGCTTCCATTTACACCAGAACTAAGTCAGAAATCCTGAAACATCACCATTTGTACCTACTATATAGTGGCAATATTACTTTTTCATGATTGCTTGTTTGTGTTGTCTTGACATGTGTTGTAGAACCTCAGGATAATCTAGTTGAACTGCCATTCACAAGACTGTTACCTGTGTGACTTTATTTCCCCATGTTCATAATTAGAATCACCCTTTGGGAAGAGCTGGAGAAATGCAGCTACTCTTCTGTTCCTCCGTTCTCTCAATAATCGAGCCCCTCATTTATTACTGCCTACACTGATTCATTTCCAATGTGTTCAAGTAGTTGTGTTCTTTTCCTCTAGATTGTCATAATTTTACACATGTTTTTAATAAAATGTTTAATACCATACCAACTCCATATTTTGTCTGGAATCTCAGTGCCTCACCTTTATAGTCATGGCAAATGTAAAGAAGAACAAAATTGGGGGATGTAGACTATTAGATATAAAGACTTATCATATAGTGTCACAGGATATTTCTTATGATTCCAAAGACCTCTCTGAAATTTTATGTTTTTGTGTTTCATTTGTTAGGAAGGCAAAAGATTGAAGTGGATCAGAATTCTGAGAGCTTCTCCTTAACAGACATTTTACTTTCCTTTCCAATTTTAAGTTCTACTTTCTGTGAGCATTTGAACTAGAAGTTGCTAGGCAGCAGGGAGCACACTAAATTTCCCAACTTAATTTTATCAACTCTGAAGTGAATGCAAACTCTTATGTTATGAAATGTTGTGTGATGATTTTTTTCTAACCATATTTCACTGAGAAGGCACTCTGTATATTCATAATATGATATTTTTATTAATGCTTAGCTGTACACATGAACTATAGTATAATTCTTTGTCTTCCCATGATCAATCAATCCAGACTTCTTTACTCCTAGTAAGCCTCATTTCATACCTCATTTTACACACCTCATTTCATAGTTCCAGTCTTTATGCCATTATGAATTTCTCTTTATGGCTGCTTATCAAGGATTATCCAGTGGCATAACAAATAAAAACTTGATGAATAAATACCAAAAGCTCCATGCCTATAACTATTTTAACGGTTTTCAATTTCCTGTAGAACCATCTATTCCAAAACAGCTATAGAAAGTTATTACTGGGCGTCATAAATCATCTAATGCTGAATTTTTCTGTGCTATATGATTAAAATTATTGGTGTGTTTCTAAGCACAACATGCATTTAAATTCTGAAAAGTGACCTAATTCTGAAAAGTGATCCATTTGTTTATAATATCTTTCAATTTTACATATATGTAAAGTATCTATTATACATATATATACACACAGAGAAACACATAGGGAGTATATATACTATGTATAATACACACACACACATACACATAGAGAGATTTTTTTATAGAAATTGGTTCACTCAATTATGGAGGCTGAGAGGTCTCATTATCTGCTGTCTGCAAGGTGGGAAACCAGGAATGCTAGTGATGTATAATTCAGACTGTGTCTGAAAGCCTGAGAATCAGAGGTCCAATGATAAGTCCAAGCCTGAGTCCAAAAGCCCAAAAATCAGGAGTGTCAGTGTCTAAGGGTAAGAAGAAATGGATCTCTCACCTCAAGCAAAGACTGAATTTAGCATTTCTCCAACTTTTTGTTCCATTAAGGTCCTCAACAGATGAGATAATGTCTACTCACATTGGTGAAGGTGATCTTCTTTACTTAGCTTCTTGATTCAAATGCTAATCTCTTCCAGAGACACACTCACAGACACACTAAGATAAAGTTTTACCAGCTAACTGAGCATTTCTTAGCATGGTCAACTGGCACATAAAGTTAGACATCACAAGTACCATGGGAAGTATAGGCTAAAGCTACAGACAATATGCACAAAGTATACTGAACATTTCATCTAAAAAACATAAACATCCCAAATGTCAATTTAGAGAGGTAACATCAAATAGTGGCAGTCATAATTACTGTATAAAATGTAGAGTGGAGTGATAGTTCAAACACTAGGAATTTGCAAGTTCATAGTGTTTTATTCATTTCAAAAACCAAGTAGCAGTAACTAAACTGAATTCATCTGTTAATACATTTTAGCATTACTATGTAAATATTTCAAAGCATCCATTACAGATCCACATACATAAAGACTACCATCTTGTCCCACAATATAATTGATCTGTGTATCCTGAATCCAATAAAAAAAAGAGAAACCACACTTTGGACAAGTAACTTTTAATTTAAACAATTATTAACTTTAACAGGGGATTGAAATAATGAAAGACTGGTCACTAAGAAGTGAAGAGAACCCTAAAGGATATAGGATATTGGATATAAGAAGTAGTCAGTACCCATAGGGTTGAAATAGAGTACTCAAGAATGAAACTCTCCTTCCTTGGTCTGAAATCCACACCTCATTAGAAAAAATATAGATATGGTCATTGAGAAACAGAAAAAATGGCTGTGATGCTTTTCTAGTGGAATTTTCCAGGAATCTGCCCGCTAGGCTGCCAGGAAAAGCCATACGTAGGTTTCCAAGAAAGCTGCTGGTCACTGGGCCTTATGTGCTTTGTGAGCTGCAGACGTAGGACACTGAAGAAGTTGCAAGAGCGGCCGGAACCTGCTGGAAACTGAAGGCACCCAAACTGCTAGTCTGGGCAATGATCGTGTAAGATCCAGGAAGCAAAGCCTTCTCCTCCTGCAATGTTTCACCATTTCCACCTATTGAGAAAGTTTAGCATTGTATCACATGATTATAAAAACAACAACAAAACTTAAAAAGCTGAGGTCCATTTTTGCGGAGAAGGCAAAAGGAGTGAATTTAAAATTGGGAGACAATCAATCATTAACCAGTGCAGTCTGTATGGCAAATAATAGAGTTATTTGTACACGCATCTGAAATATAACATGTAAACAGGGTCATGCCAGGCATTTATCTTCAGTGAGGGTAGCACTTGCAGCGGCCTGCACCCTACATAGATCACAAAGAAAACTATTCTCTTTGTTTCCTTAAGAGACATCTGTCATTTTAAAAAAATCACACAGGGCAAGATGAGCAAACAGTTTATATTTTATTTCAATATTATTACTAGCAATAGGAGAGAAAATACAGACCAAATCTGAATACACAGCTCCACTTAAAAAAGGGTGGAAGAGTTCTTAAGAGCTGGTATTGGGGAATTTTAGGCCATCTGTGTTTACTAATTGCCTTAACCCACAAAAAAGTAAGCTTTCTCCCATCTTCATTACAAGAAGTAGTTTTCTTTTCTTTTCTTTTCTTTTCTTTCTTTCTTTTTTTTATTTTTTATTTTTTATTTTTTTTTTGACAGAGTCTCATTCTGTACCCCAAGCTGGAGTGCAGTGGCGTGATCATTGCTCACTGAAACCTCCACCTCTGGGACTCAAGGAATTCTCCTGCCTCAGCCTCCTGAGTAGCTGGGACTACAGGCGTGTGCCACCACAGCCAGCTAATTATTTGTATTGTAGTAGAGACAGGGTTTCACCATGTTGCCCAGGGTGGTCTCAAACTCCTGAGCTCAGGCAATCCACCTGCCTCAGCCTCCCAAAGTGCTGGATTACAGGCGTAAGACAACTGCGCCTGGCCAGGAAGTAGTTTTAGTAGTTTTACAACGTAGAGCAAGGTGCTCACCAAATACAGGTTCCTACGTTACTTGGCACACAGCCTGAAAGATAGGGGTATTATCTTCCTTGATGATTCGATTTCAAAGAGATGGCCTCCAGGTCCTTGGGAAAGACAGTCCTGGATTATAAAATCTAAGAGGTTTTCAAAATATTTATTTATTATTTATTCACTTATTTATTTTTGAGATGGAGTCTCACCCTGTCCCCCAGGATGGAGTACAGTGGCGTGATCTCAGCTTACTGCAACCTCTGCCTCCTGGGTTCAAGCAATTCTCCTACCTCAGCCTCCCGAGTAGCTGGGACTACAGGCAAGTGCCACCATGCCCAGCTAATTTTTTGTTTTTAGTAGAGACAAGGTTTCACCGTGTTGCCCAGGCTGGTCGTGAACTCCTGAACTCAGGCAATTCACCTGCCTTGGCCTCCTGAAGTGCTTGGACTATAGGCGTGAGCCACCGGGCCCAGAAAATGTTTACATCTTAAAGTGGCTGAGAAAGCATATACAATTATACATTTTCTAAGGTAATATTCCAAAGAAAGGGAGATCAGGGAAAGCCTATGTAAGG